CAACAGCTCTGAAAACCGAGTTCATGAAAAACCATTTGTTAAAGGATTTTGTACATCTATAAGAGGAGATTTTTCCTTACACTTAAAAATATTTTTTTAATCCATGAATAAGAGTTTTATGACATTGAATTTATAGTAAAATATTTATCTTATTGTTAGTCCAAAGGGGTTTTGTCTCTGAATGACTATTGTTTTCGTTTTGCGATTTTGCGTTGAATCACTATAAACGGCGAATCACTTTTCAAAATGTTGCCACCAAAGTTAGAGTCCTGCATTATATTTGAAGAAATTCAATAATGAAAAATCCGCATAAATGTATGCATATTTCTCGCATTGTGATCAAACAATGGTACATAGAGCCAGCGAATTTTGAATGACGTATATGGCACAATCCTACGAATATGGGCATGTGGAAGACCCAATCTGAAATTTGGATTTTGTTTTATTATCGATTTCATATTTTGTAAAACGAATTTTTGATTAACAAACTCAAGGATTTAAAAGCGAGCAATAGCAACACTCTACAGTGGGAAACCTTTTTAGCTCCCCTTCCCTGTGGAACGGTGCCTGCCACACCAGGGTGCCTGGGCCATATGCCCTACCCCTTGTAGAATGAATTGATAGCTCCGAAGGTTGATATTGATTAGCCAAGCAATTCAGGATATAATATTTTTAAAACATTATTTCGATAGATAAGGATAAAGCTTAGATTGGCTTGAATTAAATGAACGTATGACTGCCAAATGGCCAAACTGCGAGTTGGGAATGAAGCTGTTACGTAAATGAGGCACAGAGGCGTTCGAACTGGTGAGAAAGGTGCATAAAACATATAGGTAAGTACACATATTTGTAGCCTAAACCCACAAATGCACAATATAAAATGTATAATAGAGAGTACAGAATACTATTACATATATACACATGCTAATACTAGTATATAATACAGTTACGAATATAAACATATGGTACAAGAAACAGCAAAATGGTGGTGCTTAGCAACTGGAGTAAGGAAAAAGGGAAAGGTTACATGATCCAGGTGTTTAATTGGGCAAGTGGTCTGTCCATATCGACAGACAATGTTGCCCATAGCGACAGACAATAGTGTTCAATTCGTTATAGTCCTACTTGCAGATTTTTATACAGGAGTTGTCTATAGTTTATTGTCTGCTGTGAAAATTTTTTGCCAGTTTGTAATAATGGTTTCTGAGTAATTGAATATCAAATTCTTCGTGAATTCTGTTATTACGGATACGAGTGTGGGCTCAAACTGGACTGGCATAGCAAAGTAATGGTCCGAGAATAATGGACTTCTAAATAAGTAACTTATTGTCTATAGATAATACACATTCCGAGCAATTAAGGGATAGAGTTGTGCTTTACGAAGTTGGAACTTCTGGATGATAGAAGTGATGTGTGAGGACCATGTAAGAGTATTATTGAGGGTCACCCCAAGATAAAGGACTTGCTTGGCCCAAGGAATGCTGGTATTGTAGAACTGCACGTTTTTCTGAATTTTGGTTTTCCTGGTGAAAAGAACAGCTTTGGTCTTCTACGCGTTGATTGAGATTTTCCACTTAGAGAGCCAATCTCTAGTGAGTGTATGTAGTTTTGTAGTCGTTGAATAACTGGACCAACGAATGCACTTTGTGCAAAGATCACTGTGTCATCAGCATACATAGCAAGTGTTGTGCCATGTGTGATGGGAATGTTATTCACGTAAATATCATAGTACGTGGACCCAAGCAAGGATCCCTGGGGGGCCCTTGCAAGGATAGGGTGTGAGGTAGAGTTTGTTCCTGATACATGAACGACAAAGTGTCTATGTAAGGTAGCAATTAGTAATGTTAATGATGTAACCTGGGAAACCCGGGACATGTAATTTGTATGTGAGGGCATCCAACCAGACTCTATCAAAAGACTGTTTATATCTCCAACGCGCGCGGAAATGTGTATCGGAAATTCTAAAGATAGGCTCATTTTAAAATTATTGTGCGACATTGCTATTGAACTGAATTTTGTGGTTTAAGGGCAAACAACATGATATTTAATAAATAAAGGTAACACACAAAACGTTAAAAAAACGCCTCTTTGGACGTAATTTAAAATCTGAAACCTTTCAGATTCTTTTTATTAATGTCTATTAATAAATATTAATTAATTATTAATTTTTATCAATAAAAAATTAATGTCTATTAATAAATAAAATTTATGTGTATGGAGGACGGTATCAAATGTAAAATTAGGTAATTAAAGTAATTTTAATTAAATATATTATTTGTTATTTATATGCCATATTTTATTTGTACATGAGCACTGCTCAGGGGATGTTCAGCAATGGCAGTAGGTGGCAGTTTATTGGTTCAAATCTGGGCCTGGTTGAAACTCTGGGGTTGATGAGGGATTAGGTTGAGAATGATAAAGTTTTAGCTGATGGCTTATTTGAATTTGTACCCTACTCAGTGATATGTAACAGAAATCAGATCATCCCAAAAAGAAAGCAAAAGCTTTTTTTTAAAGGCAGCCTAAGCAGTGACTAAGTATATAGTTTTAAATGTTATAACAACCCTAAAGTTGTTACAACAACAAGGTTGGGTTAGGGTTGTTACAGTTTGTAACAACCCTAAAGCTGAAATAAAATTTTTCTGTTTTCGTTCTCTCAATTTGTTTAATGTAATTTCTCCATTTTTTCATAATATGTTTAAATCGTTTTGAAATTAATATTCATTAAAAAGGGATTGAATGTATTGTGAACTAAACGAATTTCACTGCATAATAACAAATTTGGGATTTGCAGCAAGTGTTCAATTTATTACAAGTGATTGCTGACAATCTTTTCTTAGAACTCATACGATAGATGTTAAATCATTGCATTTATGCTGTCAGAAGCATGTTATCGCAATACTTTATACAACATAATAATAAAATATAATTATATGAAAATAATAATCAATAAAATAATAATAAAAGAAAATAATAGCGAAAATTCATATGAAAATCGCATATTATAAATTATCATATGAAATCAAAAGTTTCAAGATATGGTATAGGTAATACAATACGTTTCCTGTTGAAGATATTCTAACAACTGAAGCTGATGGAAATTATGAACACAGGAAACATCAACAAAACAGAATATGTTTTGAGATATTAATTAATCATTTCACCTTAACATAATGGGATATTTTATTTAATGTATGATATTATTAGATAGCTCGATTATAGTTTAAATTTCCTAAAAAATGCTGTATTATTGTGAGAGAGAAGAATACTCAAAAAACGTAACTTTATTAAGAATGATTTAAACTTATGTTGGTTTCATAATTTCTTAATTTTTGTAAAATTAATATTAATCAAAGGTAGAATTATTCTTAAATGACAGTGCGTTACTACATTAGCTAGCAGTTTAGCATTTATAATTTTACTGATGTTCAAGATAAACTAATTTAATGAAACGTTGTGCTACAACACTAGAGTAAATAAATTGCAGTTATAACATTGATTGAAAACAAAATGAAAGCTGATTGCCATTCATTTCAGCAGCAAGAACTCGCCGAGAATGAGAAAACGTCTGTACATTAGTCGAAATTTGCAGTTAAAATTATTTCTATTTAAAAGAAACCTTTTTCTTAATCCTTTTATGCTTATGAATGAGTCTAATTCGCAATTAAACTAACTTTTATAAACCGAACTCGAATCCTACTTATCCGTGGCTTAGAGACATTAGGATTTTTGAAAGCAGGTGACGAAAAATGAGCAGTGCCCTCGCCGGGACTCGAAACACGGAGCTCTCGAGTACGCGCCGAGCGTGCTGACCACTGCACCATGAAGGCATGCTAGAAATGCAGAAGAAATACCTTATAAGTGTAAGAAGTTATCACATTCCTCAATGCATGTTCTTGTAATGGAAGAGGTTAACATGTCCAGTAAACAAATTCGACGCTCCATAGTCCAAATCCCGACGAGAGCATAGTTCAATTTTCACGTTTCTTATCCGATACAATGTAAATATCCCTACTCTGGAGAGAACTAAAAGTATAGCGGACATGATCTGTCACCAACCTGTATTTCGTTGAATGTTTCTTGTGCCCCTCCTCCGCATGCCCCTTTAAATGAGGAGAGACTATAGGGAATTATACGTGGAGGGCTTTCTTAGTTGTAAGTAGGAAATACTTTCGTTAGCAAAATGGAAGATCTTTGGTTCGAATCCCAGTGAAAAGTAGAGTTGAATTTTCATGTTTCCTGCTTTAAGAAGCCTAACGTCTCTTCAACAAGACACCACCGACTTCTACTCCCCAAGCAGAACTACGCAGAGTGGAGCTGACTTCATTCCTGGAAAAAATCGGATGTTTTAAGAAAAGAATTCCACGTAAACTCATGTAAAGTAGTAATGATTGGTGTTGGTGATACAGGTATCATGTAATTTTCTACATAATTAAAAATGCTATTTTTTGCTTGACTTCTTACTATTTTTAAATTTGGGTAGTAAACTGATGAACTGTCAGCATAAAAGCTAAATTTTGCTAAAGTTTTATTGTGTAATGAATCGTTTTAAACGAAGAGTGATTGACTATTAAATGACATTAGAATTTATGCGATTAAATATTTCGAAATGTGCATATTTTTAGAAGAAAAATAAGCGAAGAAATCATTTCATCAAAAGTTACAGTTTATCAGCATCAACATTCGCATTGCTAAGTTTCAGATCCAAATTGACTCAGTTTCATAGGCACAGCTATTATAAAATGGCTGGTCTTTAAGAAATGTAGCATTTATATCTCTCTTCAACTGCCTGTAACTTTACCTAATCACTAATTAATATCTAACTTTGGGCAGTGTTATCGAAAAGGAATGTCATTTATAAAATGAACTGCAAGAAAAGCGACAATTATTTAGAGTTGTTACTCTTAATCGAAATTTTACGCAACAGAACAGGAAATGATTATGATGGTATCATTATACTTTTAATTATGATGGTGATAAAAATATTTATAGTGACACAATTTATATATGCACAATATATTTTAATGGTTTCAATTAGATATTACAGAGCATTGGTAAAAGTGTTCACAAAATTGCTTGACTTGATAATTCTGAAAATTCCATCCTGAAATTTTTTCACGAAATTATTCACTTTCTCTTCATTATTGCTTCGAATGCTTCAAGAAAGTAATCTTTGCGTTCCCCTGTTACGTCCAAGGATTCAAGGAACTTTTGTTTAATATCCGCTAACTCTTCCTTTCGACAACCTTCGATAGCAAACCCCATGGTTCTCAGTATCATCGATTCGAAAAGATACCTGCCAGGTTCGCCACATTTCATCTTAATCTGTTTAGCAACGCAATAAAAGTAATAAGCCTCGCTCCTAATGCAAAAAGAAAAATTCATAGTTTATGTATGAAGTTTCAAAAAAATTTAAATCTCATTTACTTACTTATTTTTCATTTCATAAATTTAAAAACACATTCTTAAGTAGCAAAATTAACAGATGAAAATCAGCTATTTTCGATACTGAAATTTTAAAAAATTTGACGTTGTATAATATATAGACACATTTAATTAAAATTTTTCAACTTTGAAAAACTTTATGATAAATTAAACTCCGCTGTTTTCCTAAAATAGGAAATAACTAATGTCCTTAAATACGTGAAATAACTGAGAATTTGAGTTAAACGCACTGCCGTTCCTAGACCATTGGTTGCCCGCTTACTTTCCTAACATTGCAGCCCCTAAATTAAAATAAAAAAAAAAATGCTCAATGATTAATAAAATTTTAATTTCATACTTACTAAGTACTTATATGCGACATTGTACTTACATGCGAATTGTATAAAAAGTATTTACATATGACAAGTACTTACAATGAATTTAAAATATTTAGGCGTGATATCGCGAGAGTCCTTCCAACCCTGATTTCGGCCGCCCGCGTACTTTTTCATGCTGCACCTCGGCTAGGAACGGCCCTAGTTGAACTCACAAGTCGAATTACCCTTTTTGGAGGTGCTAACGCTACAGGAATATGCGTAAATTCGCAGCACTAATTACAAGAGCTTTAAGTACAGAAACACCTCTTCAGCTGGAGGAGTGCAAATGACGAAAGAGAAGCCTGTGTTCAGGCGAAAAAGTAACAGGATGGAAATCCAGCTACTGGAAGAAAGTCAAGTTACGTTTGCATCCACAGATGGCGCCAGCAGCTTGACTTCTTTTAAGTCATTGTTATTGCCAAAGCAATGGTTTCTCTTTCGTCATTTGCACTATTATTTTATAGTCACTATTTTACAAATGCATATTTAATTTAAATATTTATAGGTGTAGTTAGTCTTTTCATCAGTTTTTTACATTTATTTATAATGCAATCTACTAATATCTCAGTGGATAAAGCTTCTGAGCTTTGGTTGCTCGACCTATGCGAATGAAATCCGTGCGAGCAAGTTGTCTGCGTGGACATTTTAGTGGCTTTCTGCATGTTTAACGAGAACACGAGTTAGTTTCTTTTATAAACTTCTTCGCAAAGGCATGGCATCCTTTAGGAGAGACATAGTATGCCTTTTTCGCCCTCCTTTCTGCATGCCTCCGTGGAGTAAAGGTCAGCATACTCCGCACATATTCAAGAGGCCAAGGTTTGAGTGCCGGAGAGGGCATTGCCCATTTTTCACGTCTCCTTCTTCAAAAAGTCTAATGACTCTGCAGTGGCGTCCGAACTAAAAGGTGATGGATAATGATTCTCCAAAACCAGTATTTGGCGATTGGATCCCCTAATCCCCAGTCCCCATTTAAAAGGGGAAGTATATAAAGTATGCAGGTATGGCGGGGTCCAACCTCCTAGCAAGCCTAAGCTCGCGGTATGGCTTTTCTAGACCGGCCACGAAGGAAAAAGATATAGGACAACACAACATATATAAACGAAGTCTCCAGAAGCAGCCATATTGGGTGTTTTTTGTTATTGTTCTATTCTAATTGCTACCAGGTTTTTGTTAATTATTTCCATTATCTCTTTTGCTCATTTCCATTATAAACCAGGTCTTTAACCTCCCGGCATGCCTTCGTGGTGTAACGATTAGCACACTGGGCGTGTATTCGAGAGGTCCAGATTCGAGTCCCGGTGGGGGCGCTGCTCATTTTTCATGTCTCCTGCTTCAAAATAACCTACTACCTCTACAACATAATCAAATAATCCAGTCCAAATAAAATAATACGCATCTGAATCACTCTAATTTAATCTGCGTACCGAGGAAATTGCTTTTGACAGGGAAAATGCGAGATTTAGTTTAATATATCGTAAAGTAAATTCAAAATTTCTTTTAAAACTGTAACCTTGGTCAAATTAATAATAATAATATAATAATAATAATAATAATAATAATAATAAAACTTACAAGCATTTATTGTCTGCTGATGGAAGACTTGATTTTTGTTCTTCTGGTAATTCACTGAGCAGTTCTTTGTAAGCTTCGTACGTAGCCTGTTCTAAAGCGTTGCAAGTATGTTTTGGAGATGAAAAGTATTCGGAAACACATGCATAACTTTGAACATAAGCTAAGTAAAATGAGAAAATAAAATAAAAAAAAAAGATTTTAAACCTACTTGAACAAATTAATTAGGCATTCTTAACATTATGCAGTGAAATTTCTCATAATTTCTCCTACAGATATCATAATAAACATTAAATGCTTGTAGCACATCATAGGAATAAATACATCTTTAAATTTGCTATCCTTTTATTAAGATTAAGTAAACGAGCTCCCGTCAGGCTTGCAAAAAGAACAGATCCTTAAGCGATCTTATTAACAGAAGTTTTCTTTCCCATTTAAGTTCTTTTATTTGCATTTTCTTCATAATTTTAAAATACGTACCTTTAAATTGTAACCATCCAGAAGCAAAAATAAAATAACGATACGAATCTTTAAGATGCACAGGCTTGTTGCATTTACATTGCCTCATTTGTTATATTTTACTCATTAAATTGGAACTGATTTACTGATTGCTGTTCAGACTGATTAAACTTGAAAAATAAATTCCAATTTGAGCACTTTCTCAAATATTCTGTGAACTAGCTTTTGCCAGATCACCTGGAAGTTGCAAAAAATTAATGAAAGAAAATTAAACATAATGAAAGGAGCATCCAAAGAACCAAACACGTAACGGTGTCACAAGGCCTATAAGCGTAAGTCTTTTGAGCGTACACATCGATTTTATTTTGTTTTTCAAATGCCTTCTATAGAGAATGGGAGGATAAGGCATGTTACATAAGCGTTTTGCCTCAGTACGTTCAAGATAAATGATTTATCAAGCAGAAAAATATTTATTTGCATTCTAATGATATATGAGTCATCTTTCCCTCGTATCTTTTTATTTATTTGATGTGGTATTTATGAGGAATTTCGTAACACGGTATGCAGGATTCCTGTTGTTAGTCCAAAGGGGAAATTTGCCCAGAAGGACTATTAATTTCGTTTTGGCATTTTGCGTTGATTCACTACAAGCGTTGTTTCACTTTTAAAATTGTAGCCACCCAATAGTATTGCCCTGTATTGTATTGAAAGAAATTAAATAATGAAGAATCTGCATGAATGTATGTAGGTTTCTCGCATTGTGATAAAACAACTTTACCTAGAGCCGTCCGATTTTGGATAACGTACGTCTGCCCCCGAATATGGGCATCTCGAACCCAAATTTGGAATTTGTTTTATTATGGATTTCAGATTTTGTAACACTTTAACGAATTTTTGATAACAAACTCAAGGATTTCCAGCAACGTTGTACAGAAAAACATTTTTACTTCAGCGCGTGAGCCTGTGTATCGGAAATTCTAAAGATAGGCTCTTTTAAATATTTGGTGATATTGCCGTTGAACTGAATTTTATGGTTTAAGTGCGAAGAACCTGATACTCAATAAATAAAGGTAACACACAAAACGTTAAAAAAAGGCCCCTTTGGGCATAATATAAAATCTGAAAGCTTCCAGATATATTATTATTATTGTTATTATTATTATTTCTTATTATTAGCTTCTTTAACATTTAAGCAGAATCAGTTCAAACTCTTTGCTATCAAGACATTTTAGTATCAATCCTTAAGTAACAATGAGTGAAAGGCTGTCAATCAATTATTAATTAAATAATGTTGTATAATTTTATATTATTAAATATAACTCATAAAATCTAAATTACTGAAAAATATAACCCAAAAGACAAGTATCTGCCATTTTCATCATACTGTCAGACAGAAAACTCATTGCCTTATATGAGACGACGAAGAAATACGAGAAATAAAACAGAAACAGAATACACGGCTGAGAAATTGGTAGAAGAAGATATAGGAGAGTCTGTACTCTTACTTGGTAGAAAAAGATGTACCAATTTTTGAAATTGGTAGAAGTAGATGTAGGAGAGTCTACTTAACTTTCAAGAGATTTTTCACAATTCGAAAAAAATTAAATTTATCTTCATTTGGTCTCACAGATACTTCTTCGGAGCTGAATTTGATACGTGGGTAACAGAAAACGGGAAACAGTTTCCTCTCTTCCCAGGCTTATCAGAGGTCATATTCGATCCCATTCATTTTCAACTTCCCTAAAATACGATGTCTAACATTTTGTTTAATGCGTTTGATTACAAAAGAAAGATATTCACTGGATTTTCCTAAAGGTTTATAACTAAAAGACTTGTATCAATTTAGACGTCAAGAACAGGACTAGTTTCCATGGTTTCACCGAACCATCAGCATCAGCTGTCAAACTGCAAATGAAGGAGATAAGGTACCTAGAGATGGTGAAAAGATAAGATAAGAATGGCTGGATAGGAGTTGAGCTACTGACGCCACCTATTGATGAAACAAGAAAACTAAAACATAATTTCCTTAAAGGTGGAAGGTAAAAATGGATTGGAATTTGGGTCGCTAACTAGAACTAAACGAATCACACTTTCCACTTTTTTGCAGCCAAAATTATCCAAAACATATCTTCCATCTTTGAATTAGATTTTCTAGAGGCGTTTCACATTCAAAAAAATCTTTCTGTTCTAGTTAACGACCCTAATTCCATCTGTACCTTCCTTTAAGTAAATTATTCTTTAGTTTTCTTGTTTCAATAATATATGCTCAACTCCTGTGCAGCCATTCTTATCTTACAGTATCTCATTCATTTGCACTTTGGCAGCTGATGCTGATGCTTCAGTAAAACCATCGAAACTAGTCCTGCGAAAATTTGCAAATATAACGCTGACTTTTGTTGTTTGATTTCTGAATTAATATTTTTGGGAGTGTTATTACAACCTAAACTAAAAGACTTGGCTTAGTTTCGAGTAGCAGTTGATGTAGGGTAAGCAACTGAAAGAACTGTATCAGTTCATGCATCTTATTCTTTAATCATCAAATTTATACGGACTACAAAATTTTATATACTGTAATTTAAAAAACGGTTCGATATTTTAAATTGATTTTATTCAAATATTTTATAAACAATTACTTTTTGCGAGTGTTAATCGTGTAGACAACTATATACTAAAAATTAATTAAAATACGTTGAGAGGTAATACCTTCATGCAAATTAGAATTTTCGAAGCACAGATCTGCGAAAAAGTCTCTTACGGAGATCATATCTTCAGCAAATTGGGCAATAGTTACATTGGATGATTTTGCCAGTTCCCTTAAATTCGATCCGGTGCATGAAAGCATGGTTTCGTCAGCGCATTCAAGACCTTTTAGTATGTCACTGGAAAAAAGTAAGAAAAGTAATGCAAAGTAAAGTAATGCAAAGTCCGAAAGGCATTCCTTAAATTATTACTTTAATTAGATTTAATCTTAGGGAATGTTACCATCCCCAGTAAGGATACGATATTAATTCTGAAAAATTTTAAGACAAATAGCAAAATGTCTGATATTTGAAGAAAACAATCACATCGTTATTTAACTTTCCATACCTAATCATTGTAGATCTGCGTACGTTTTGGTCTATTTATACAGAAACTTTATACACTTCAAAGCTAAATCCTCGCTCTATGTATAGAAATTTTTCTTATTTATTTATTTATTTATTTATTTATTTTTGTGCTATACACCTCTTTAACCCCTAGCAGATCATCCCCCTCCTTTACAAAAAATCATGTGCATTTATTTAAATTTAGATTTTTAGCCATGCGTTCTATGAATTAAGCAACAAAAAGTATAAAAAGTATTGATGAATACCAAAAACTTGAAATAAAAAGTAGTTTTTTATATTCATAAACTATAACTAAATAATTTACAGATAAATGAGAAATTTATTTTTCTGTTGAAGAGAGCTTTCGGCTCGCCGTGTATTTTGAATGCCACCTTGCCGCGCAGACACTCTACGTTTATAAACATATATGCCTTTTTTGGAATTAGAAACCCGGACCTGTTTGTAATGCAGTCAGGACCACTAACTATAACTAACACTTAACCTAGACTCGGATCAGGTCTACGGATATTAGCGTGTCCAAGAGGAAATGGTAGTGCCTGTCATTGGTTACCTAGCTAATGACCTACTAGGCCTAAGCCAATGACCTACTATGACCTAAGCCAATGGCCTAGTATTTAGGTTTAGGTCATTTTTAGGTGACCTAGGCCTAAGTACGAATTAGACCAGATGCATCCCATTTGTGAATGAGAATCCCGCGAGGAAGGATCCGAGGATCTCCCACACCTTTTCATTTAGGACAAACTTCTCTGGAAACTTTCGATTTGACCCCAAATCTAATCAACTTGTAAATTATACTTTAATTTTATAGCACTTATTTTAATTTAATTCACATTTGCTATCTTATCTCATTTCAACTTACAATCAGCATCAGAATGAATTTTTAGAATCGCATTGAATGCAAATGAGGAAGAAAATAGCATTAAGTCAAACTGACTTCGAGAGAGAGAGAGAGAGAGTGAGGATTCTTGAGTAGCGACTTTGGGCTACGTCTCTCTAAGCTGTTGTTACGCTCGGCCGTATTATTACCTGCCTTTTGACAGTTCGCCGGCTAGTTTAAGATTACGTCCTAGCTACGTTAGAATTGTGTTAGCTCCAGTTAAATCGGTTAAATCTCTTATTCAGTCATTAGTTGGTTCTTATTTCTTGTCAGGATTTGTATGTCTTTTGACTTGCTTTGAAAACATAACGTTTCCTTACAGAGAAACAGAGAGCTTACTGGAGCTATGTTCCAGTATGTGTGGAATAGACGACATAAACAGGAAGGGTATACAGAACTCTTTATTCTCTATTACTTTACAGGTGCTCTCGGGATTATCTCGGGATACAGAGACCAACCACTTGTGGTCTGAACGTAAAAATATAAAACTACTAACTAAAACCTAACTAAAAGCTAACTTTGAATTAGTATACAAATGCCTAACACTAAGACTGGCCTTTTTAAAAGTTTACGTAGGTAGCACGCAAACTGTTGAAACTACAATGCGTTTTAAATAGTATCAAGAGGACTAAACCTCTGGCCTTAAAGGCAAGCAGCAACTGATTGAAAACTCGTAAGAATGCAGTGGCAAGGCGGCTCGCTTCCTCTCTCTCTCTAACTCTTGGCAAAAAGCAACAACTTAAATACTTGGGCGTTAGCAAGTACAATTTGCATAAACAAGTTAACGCATTTAACTCTGGCCGGAAGTGGAAAATAAGAAAGTATAGTAAAGTTTTAAAGTAAAATAAACGTTAGTAAAACTTAAGATCCTTACATTCTTACTTTTGAGTTTAAGCTCAAGTGGAGGCTTTGCTGTACGCCCGAAGAAAGGGGCCGACTGTTCATCTAAGTGAATAAAGGGTGATTAACTCTTCTTGAGTTTTCGATTTCTGTTCTTTGAATTAAACGATTATTCGCTTAACAGTTCTCTTGGTTCATCAACACTTAATAAAATAAAAGTGAGGAACCCTATAAACTCCTTATATGAATGCAAAAAACTTAAATACGGGAAATATAAATTCCAGGTTAGTTTGGAATAAGAGTTATCGGGGACGGAAAACATAGACAGAGATATCACTGTAAATATGTATAATTCCATGAATAGCAAATTCATGCTTATTCACGCTAAACTCGCTATCGAATAATATTTGGAATGAAACCTTTACCTCCCTTACCCATGAATATAGGTTGGCTGAAGGTAAAATTGATCCAAGCCGAGAAACGTCCACTCTGTATGCAGTGGAATACATGCACAATTGCAGTGATATTGAGCAAATTATTCGAAATTATTCGAAAAATTAGTTTTTAGCATTTCAACATTATGAAAAGCAACGGGATTCAATTTTATAAACTTCTTATATCGAAATTTCACTAAATTGATCATACAGAACATTTGAACAACAGAAATTTAATTAATATATTCATGTTATAAACTAAACTCAATGAACACAGGATATTAATACTATCAAAAGAATATTTTAGAAACTTTAACTACGAAGGAAATCTAAATACCAATCACTTTTAGAAAAAATGCCGGTTGAAAAGGATGTTTGTCATAAATCCATAATATTAAAAATTAATTATAGGAAATAGCTTACTTACGGACATAACTTGTGCAGCCGCTCCTCATTTGGCAAATCATAAAAATCAAAATCTACATCAGGGAAACAATGGAATATTTCACAATCCCTAATGCAACTGACTGCCCCTGTAAATAAGAAGAAGTATTGTAGAGACATTAGATACTTTTGAAATCAGGAAATGTGTGAAATGAGGAATGCCCTCACCTTGACTCGAACCTAGACCTCTCCAATATGCGCCGGGTGTGCTAACCGTTACACCACGAAGGCATGCAGGAAGGAGGGAGAAAATATCTTATAGTATTAATCAATTTTGGTTTAACTTCCCAATATAGGTCTGGCATATAAATCGGTTTTAGTGAAGTATACTAAACAATATACAAACTTCAAAAATTTGAAAATAATTTAGAGATTTTGAAGGTCACAATAATAGTTGATGTGTCAAAATATACAGAACAAATGTTGAAGAACATATATCGAAATGTGGAAAACTGACTTGATATTATCTAAACAGAATAACATTCATTCTTCGAGATTTACTAAGCTAAATTAGCGCAGTTACCATTTCAAGCTAAACATTACTAAAAGCTAAATTAGCGCAGTTACCATTAAAAAATCATTAATTTTTGTGCAGTAAATGTTTTAAGGGAAGGAGTGTATCCTCCCCCTGTATAGCCTAAATTGCGCTTTCAGGTTACAGGTTTCAGAAAAATTCAATTTTGTCGATCGTAATTAAAATTTGAAATATGTACTGTCGCATTTCTTTATTTTTAGTTTAATTTAATTTAACACTGTAAAGGAAACTTCTTCGACGAATTTATTCCACGGATTTTGTGGTCTTGCAAAACAGAAAGCATTGCCACTCGAAGAAAATATGTGTTGCGTGCGAATTGCGCAAGGGATCCAATAAAATAAATGTTCAGCTGTGTTTTAAATAATCGTTTTAGTTATAAAATAAACTTACAAGTGTCTTGTGATTTTACTTTACGATGAAAAAATATAATAGCATGTCTGCCAAGTCGCACAGCTTATTTTAAATAAAATATTTTTATACTGCATACCCATCTCTTCATTGTACAAACTGCGTTTTGATGAGCAGCATATATCCTTGAATTTGATGTATCACAAATATCTATCACTTTGACGAATCCACATGCATTTATATATAATAAAAGATTTTTATGCTGTATATGCTACGTTGAAACACCGAAATCTGGAGAATGTCGACTTTCACCGGTGAATGTCAACATTCACATAGTCTCTTGGTGTATGTCCGAAATATTTTCCAAATACTCTTATTTCTGACTTACACCGGTCAATGTCGACATTCACCATGTACTAATGGTGAATGTTGAACATATAACAATATTATATTTTCTTCTCCGTAATTCAGTCGCGAATAAACGCACTTGAGACTTGAAATAAGAACTTAAGAATATGAGAACCTAAAGCACACGATACATTCAAAATGAGAAAGGAAAATAATAGAAGTTAAAAACTTACTTAATTATACAGTACGTTCTAAATGAGAAAATAAAATAACAGTAATAAAAAACTTAACTAAATTATGTGATTCAAATCTTATTTATTGCAACAACTTAAACTATTATGGCACTTTATAACCTCTCTTTTTCGACTTTCACCAGAGCATATCTGTGATTGTCGACATACACCGATGAGGGTCCGAATATACAAGAATGTAGTGCAATATTCGATCTTTCACCGATGTATTTGGTGAATGTTGACATTTTCCGGTGAAAGTCGACATTCTTCAATTTCGATCTTTCACGGTAACATATACACACCCTTCATTGTTCAAACTGTGTTTTCATAAACTGTACGTATTCTTGAATTTGATGTATAACAAATATGTATTGCAGTGTTCTTGTTAAGGTATCTTACATTAAGGATATTGAATCCGAGTGTTTTCTATGTATCATATACGAGTATCTTGCATTTTGATACAGTAAATGGTTTCTAAAATAATACGAATCTTATAAATTACCCTTTGAGTTAGGTAGAAACGGAGAGTTAGTCAATATCATGAAGTCTTGTAGTACCTCAGGATAGAACTACACCCACGCCTATTTAACAATAATATTCTGGCAGCTATTCAAATTCACCAATGATAACATTTATGCCTTTAAATCTTCCAAAGCGTTTAGTTTCCCACGTATACAGTACTCAAAATTTCAAAACGAAAGCTATTCGAATTCAGAAATGACTAAGTGTTCGACCAGTGAGAAGGCACAGGTAGCTATAACAGTTCTATCAATATTTGGGCGCGAACATACTGCAAGGATTATATTAATTTATCTAACAGTTAAATTTTCAGTTAAACTTCCTTTCCTGTCCTTTCTGAATTTCAACTTACAACTTTCGGACAGAACGTAGTTTTAGATGGTTGGTTTATTAGGGCAAAGCACTCGAGGGCTATCTGCCTTAAGGGAGGGATACCTTCGTGGAGGACTTTTTAAGGGAAACTGGCTCGTATACACGTTACACATGGCGAAAACCACGAAAACACTCATACAGCCAGCCCGTTCGCAAGATTCGAACCTCGGACCGAACTACCAGTGTTCAGCGACGTTACCGCTCGGCCGCTGGTGGGCTCCGTAGTTTTAGAATCACGTTTAAAATGCAAATGAGCAAGAGCAGTATTTAACCGCGAAGTTCTGCTGTCTTAGTTAGTTATACAGCTTGTAGCTTTGCAAGCTAGACGCGGCGGTAACGGCAAACGGAACGGTCTTAGTTAGAGAGAATCAGAGATTCTGGCTAGCACGCGTCCGCCTTTTTAGGCTACTCTCTCTTAAGCTATTATTACGCTCGGCCATACTTTAGGCCTTTGATAACTTCGCAGTCAATTTGCGTTAAGAGGTCAACTCTGTTAGAAGTTTGATAGCTTCGGCTATAACGATTTAATTAAGATTAGTTAGTTTAAACTCCAAGACGGAGTTAAAACTCCAAGACGGAGTTCTGTTACACCTTATTGGAATAATAAAGTGTTATTTCAACATTCTTACTTGTTGTTTTCTATCCCTCGAACTCAAGCGATTATTTGTTTACTAGTTTTTAAGATTCTTCACATTCAACTGTAACTTAGAAGTACACAGTACAGAATGTTACATTACAAAGCTCATTGATTCTAAATATCATTAAAGAAGAACAGCAGTAGTAAAGAAGGAAATGCGTATAATTAAAACATCTTTCCAGAAAGCTATCAGAGCTTCTTTTATCTTATGGAAAGATGTCTGAAACATTTTATTTCAATTTGCTTCTTAGTGAAAATGTACTTGACATGTTGAAATGTACTTGATAATTTGAAAGAGAATGGATAGAATAATTTTAAAAGTTAGGAAAGACGCCATGCGACTAAAATGTTATGCAGCAGCCTCACCCAAATTGAATGTTATAAAAACTGCTAACGCAACAAGGAACATATATCACAGAATTTTCAAAAACTTTATCACCCAATATTCGTATGAAAAGAATTGACCACGTGAAGTAATTTCCAGAAATGACAATGGTTGAATAGTCTATAAAATATTGTATGAATGTTTTAGAAAACAAATGAAAAAATATATTCGACAAAAACACAGTCTAGACATTAATTAAATTAATTATAATTTTGTTTGCAGATTTGTTGTAATTTGCAGATTAATTATGTTTTCTTTTTCCTGAAATACGTAACACAATGGCTTAGAAAAACCTTATATGATGTACAGTTATAATGAATGCTCTTGAGAAACTTGCTAGGAATTTTTGCAGGGAAAAATATGTAATTAAAAATATAATATACAGAATAAATTTCGGAAACAGAAAGTGAGGAGACTAGAGAAAGATAGTGGAAACTTTACTAGCGCAATGGGAAACAATGTGATAAACACATATCATAGACATATATCACCACGACTTCCGTGTACGACCTATCAAATGGCGCACATTTTTTCTGCACTTCACTTAGACTTATTTTCCTTAATTACTTTGAAGTCATTTAGTGAGAGCTGAAACTTTTAAGCAAATTTATGAGCAAACTTAATTCAGATATGATCTAAACTTACCAAACAGAAAAACGAAGGATAAATACAACAGTTGCATTGTTCTAAAGCAGAATAGAACGTCTGGTGTGCTGCTGGGTTAGTGCTGAATGCGCTGAACTGATTTACTCAAAATTTACATATCTAAACCCAAGAACTCTTTTTTATATCCTAAATGATAAATAATTATTTTTGTGGAAGGAAATTATGCTTCGCCAAGATACGTAGAACGGAAACCCTTCTGTGGCAGGTTTTGTTAACGGAAAACGACTTATTGAACTAAGAGTAAGAGTTATCAAGGAAGTAATTAATGCAGAAATGAAAGCTGATAATTTTTTGCGCATGATTCTGAAATATCGCTTCCTTTTTATACATGCTTTATATAGGCGACACTTTAATGAAACTAATTTTTGCTTTTAATTAAAATTAACTTATCCAATGAATTTTAGAAAAAAAAAATAACCCTGTCTAAGGCAGCCTGTAAGAACTGAAACTGTAACCTAGAATATGACCTTTAAATGTAGGCATTTAAATTAATTATTTCAAATTAAGTAGAAATTCAGTTTTACTTCTTTATTTCATAATTAAAGAGAACATGACTTGCTTTGTCTCATAAACAATGAAAATAGGTATAAATATATAAAATATTGTATTTGCAAATAATGCTAGAACTACGCTATTAAGTATACATAAATGGGAGATTTTCCTGCCATTAAGAAAGGAGAAGCTAACATGCAATTGAATATTAACGAAAATAAAATCAAACATGCGTAAATTGCAAAAAAAACTAAGAAAACCGCAAAATACCTGAAAGGAGTACATTTTAACAGTTTTGTTTATTTTGGCTCAGAAGCAAACGGAAGAAACAGTATTGATTCAGAGGCTAAGATATGTCTTATCGCTATAAATCGTTGTCTGTATGGCTTAAGAAAGATTTTATAATCAAAATTAATTAAAAGAAGGAACACATTTCTTTTACAAAAGACTGTAATAAGCCCTGTAGTTAGATATGGCTCTGAAGCCTTATAAAAACAATTAGCTGCTTTTGAAAGGAACGTCCTGGGAGAAATCCGTTGTAATGGTAAAGATGGTGATGATATCTTTATACAACAGCATAATATGAAGCAAACAGATATTGCTAAATACATTAAAATTAAGCACACAATATGTGTTGGCCACATTTGCCGAATGAATTCCCCTTTTTACATATTTAAAATTTGATGATGGGATTATACAATAATGACTTTAACGCTGTGAAACTTATAAACTGAAAACCCTGGCCAAATGAAAAACGGAATGGAAGAAGATTCTCAGATCGGCGTTATGCTTCAATAAAAGAATTTAATATTCGATTTGCCATTTTCAGGCAAATCTGTTATTTCTGTTAATCTGAATTTTCTGCTAATTGCGAGTTCACTATAAGAAAACAAATTCAAACTTGCATCACTCCTCGTTGAAAAATTATGGACAATATAAATATAAAATAATTTTAAAAATTACAAAACCATTTATAAAATGACTGATATCTTCAAGAGAAAATTAATTTGAAATTAAAAAGAGTGACAACCTGACTTGGCAGGCTCTATGATAAAACGCTTTGAAATGCCCGAAAGTAATTTCTGGCGCACCAGCGGCCGAACGGTAAAGTCGCTGAACACTGGGATTTCTGTCCGAGTTTCGAACGCCGCGAACGGGTTGGCTGCATGGCTGTTTTTGTGGTTATCCTCATGTTTAACATGTATGCGAGTCAGTTTCCCTTAAAAAGTCCTCCATGAAGGTATCCCTCCCCTTAGGCAGATAGCCCTCGAGGCTCTGCAATAATCACGTAAACCAAACCAAAAACCGAAAGTAATTTCAGATGTTAATTTAAAAGTTTTGGATGTAATAAATTTGACAGTTGATATCTGGTCGCAAGAAGTAGCATGATAAACCCGTATACCTTAGGTATTTCCTTTGATGAAATTCTATGATAACATCATGACAGTTATATCGAATTCTCTAGTTTTGAAGCTGTCATTCATAATTTTCGCCTCTTCCCTAATGAAGTGGCTGACCTCACGCATCATCGACATTAAAATTAATCTCCTCACGTTGAAGCATGTAGTTACGTAAAAGAGCATTAATTTAGAAAACATGGAAGTGTAATTAGCATAATAGAAGTCTCATATCTCTCTACGTCTAAATCTGCTTTTAACTCTAATTTAAACCATGTGAACTGTGCTATTATTTTTAAGTGATTAGATTCCAGTGCATGTTTAGATGCTATATAAAATAAACATGTCTTGTTGCTGCTAAAGGCACGCAGTATTAGCGGATTTAATTTACCTTCTAGAATTACCTTAAAAGCATTCTGCTACTGACTTTATCTTATGGTCCATTATTCTTATTTTATTTTACCAAAGTCTTAGAGAAACGGGTGAAACGAACGATGCGTAATTTTAAAGTATCTAACACTACATCAGACGACTGACTTTACAGCTTGCGCCATCTCGAGGAGAAAAAGTGATTTAAATGTAAATAGAAATATTCTTTCCCATTTTCTTTTGTTTTGCGGTCAGCATTTTACTTCGTTTCTGTAAGAATATCACACTTTTTGAAACATTTCCTTCCACATTTTTTTTTTTTTTTTCCAGTTTTAAAATTCTAAATAATTTAACCTCACATCTTTTGTCACGAAATGTAAGCAATAAGTTTTAGCCAAATGTTAATGAAAACCGATTCACATTACACGAGTTTCTTTATAAATGAATGGCAAAATTTTAAAAATAAATATTTTTATTTCTCAGCTTAATATGAAAAAAGAATTAGAATATAAATATTCAATATTCATTGATTAGTATCCCGCTGCGGAGAGCATAAGTAAAATTTTTATCAGTGCGTAGCTAATTCTTATTACTTTTCAGGTAAGACTCAAACAAATTCTAAACAAATGTTAAAATATATCACTTAATAAAAGTAAGTTAATTTTTAGTAATTTTGGTAATTTTTAGTAATCTTAGAATACTTCATATTTCATATTTAGGGAAAATGCATTCTGTGACGATCTTTGTAACCTTCTCTCTTCTGCTTACATAAGATGGCAGCTCAGCCGTTTAGGAGGTACAAGCGTTACAAAATTAAATTCAGAAGAAAATTAAGCTATTTTTGATGACGATACTGTGCTTTTAGAAAGAAACAAGAGACAAAGCAATGGTTATTGGCTCAGATAATAGAATTTATATGTGTCATAAATGACCAATGTAGAAAGTCTCAGGTAAACACTTACTACGCAAAAAGTTTAAAACCTACTTAACATTTGAGGAAACAAGCTATTTTCTAATTCAGTTTTATGCACTAAAAGTGGTAGTTGGTTAGTCGTTCCAGTACGATTATATAAATATGTCTCACGTATTCTTTTATTGAATTTCTACATTTAGAAACAGGCTACTGATTTTTAACTAGTTTGATTTTAAAATCTCTTAAAGTATGTGTACATATTTATATTCTTGTATCATTTCATTTGCAAATTGTATCGTACTTTTATCTAACTATTTGCAATTCTTAATTAGTATTTTCTTAACTAGTATTACTTAATTAGTATTATACTTGTTTTATGAATATTCATATTTAATAATAATGTCTTAAAAGTATGGAATTTGCTTCTTATAAACTCAAGAATGCCCGCTTTCGAGGTTTATCTTATTGATAGTTATTTATAGTCCACAAAGTCCCTAAATAACTTTAATAGCTTGTTGCATGGGAATAGAACAGCTTATACCTTCGACATTGATCACACATTCACAAGGTATGTAGTTGATATTGATCACATAATAAAAGTCTAAAACTGTTCAGGAACACTATTTATTATTAGTTGCAGATGGTATTATTATTATTATTATTATTATTATTATTGTACGTTCCGTTGTTTAAAAATAGTGGACTGTAAATTAACTTGATATTACTTCAGTATAGAACCCAAAAACCTCGAGGAGACTAATGTAACTAAAAAATGTAACAGACTCCTAACGTTGACCGAAACTTCTTATTGACTTTCAAATAGTAAGTTAGTTGAGGAACGGCGAAGACCACACAAACTTCGACTTCAGTGGCGGCTTACCAACACAAACTCAGAAGAACCTCTGCCTAGTTGAAACTCCAGTAATTCACAGCAACCTCGAAAGCTCTAAAACGCGAGCTTTAAAATCCTAACAAATTTGCGTCTGCGCCGCTCCTCGGTACAAAGAAAGAAATACAATTTGCATTAACATCGAACATACCCCCAGCCTTGAAGTCCCAAGGGGGTTCAAACAATAAATTTAAACTGTTGAACTGCATAAACCTGAAAAAAAAAATTAAAGTCTCTAAATCAAGGAATTAAATGGCAAAGCGCATAGCTTTGCTATATAGGTCGTTTTATTTCACCATTAGACGTGCGTAAACTCACCACTCGAACTTTCTCATCCAGACCGGGATACACTTTAATAATTCTACCTAATTTCCAACGTAGAGGAGGTAGATTTTCGTTCTTAATAAGAACCATATCACCAATCTTCAGGTCTTGTTGTACCTTGCACCACTTGGGTCTCTGCTGCAATCTAGATAAATACTCACTGCTCCAACGATTCCAGAAATGTTGAAATAACCTTTGCACGTTCCTCCAACGGTCACTGCAGCTCACGGTTTCTTGAAATTGGTTAGATTCTGGAATAGCGCTTAAAGCCGCATCCGGTTAAAAAAGTGTCCTGGTGTTATCGCCTCCCAAGTCGCTACAATCACTTGAAGCTGGTACCAAAGGCCTAGAATTAAGACAGGATTCAATTTGGGTTATTAATGTAAAAAATTCTTCATATGTTAAAATAAGTGTTCCTAAACATCTTTTTAAGTGATGTTTTATGGACTTGATTCCCGCTTCCCAGAATCCTCCAAAATGAGGTGCAGAGGGTGGATTAAATAACCACTTAATATTCTTCGACGAAATATAACCTTGAAGCTGTTCATCACTCTGAACAGTAGAAAAGGCTTTTTTTTAATTCTTTATTAACTCTTATAAAGTTCGTTATACAATCACTGTGAATTTCACACGGTTTGCCTCTACGAGCTATAAACCGCTTAAGTGTCGCGAGGAATGATTTTGTTGAAAGATCTCCAACTAATTCTAAGTGTATTGCTCTTGTAGTAAAACAAATAAAATAGACATACGT